AATATCGTACAGTCCCTTAGATTGTACAGACTAGAGGTCACTGATCTCATACCATCGTCAATCATTGTTTACGTTGTATCTTTGTTGTCATTTGTTTTTATGTGTGTTGTACAATGTATTTATCAGAATATAAGTACATATAATGGATTTTGTCTATATACTGTAGTATTACCTAATACGGCCTTGACCTATGTAGCAGAGGTTGTGCGTAGCAAGGCTTATTTAAGCAAATGTATAAAAGTATTGTTTATTTATTATTTGCACGTATAGAAAAGTTACATAATCAAATAATAACAATAAGAGAATATGCGGGGTAGGCCAGAAACCTAGGTGGTTTTTTAAAGGGCCTACCCCAAACAAAGGTAACTATGATACATGACAAAACATATTTGAATTAAACATCAAAATTAAACAATGAAATAATTGATTAAAAAATTAAACAAAATCAAGACACCGAAATAATAACTGAAGTGTGTAAACTAGTTTTTACATCTACGAAAAGAAATTAAACAAAAGTGTTATACATGTAATTCAGGTCGCTGTTACAGAAATAAACTGATTGGATAATTAACATAAAAATTAACGATTAAAACAAATGATTGAAAAAACAAGGAAAACAAACAAATCAGATTGTAGTGGTACTGGGGTTTTGTAAGAAAAGTTTTTAAGACGTTTTTTAAAAACGGGAATTGACTGTCAGTTTTGTAGCAGTTGGCTTAACTTGTTCCAGACGATGGGGCCTCTATACGCTATTGAGAATTGTTTGTGTGTGGATTTAGTCTTGATCGGCCTTAATTGGTTTTGTTGTCTCGTATTTTATTAAAATGACACAGAATGACAATGGCAGCCAGTTTAATGAGGACAGTTAAAGCAGTGTCATAACTGTTGAGAATTTTGTTCAGAAAGTGTCTGCAAAGTCAAAACATTCTATAACATTCTATGAGCTGTGACTATCAGGCCTCAAAATATTGTAGGACACTGGAATGTAGCAACTTGTGTCGATATCAAAACCTCAACTCTACTAACCGCCAAACCCAGAGGTAAACATAAACACAGTGTTTCTGGACTCAACCTAATAAGTGTAGTGATCTAGTTTTCGGATCACTGAAACAGTCTGGAACTCAAATCCTGGTCTCTGCAACCCCTAGTGGAGGATTTCTACACCTTAAAGACACCACCACACTTCTGGGAGACAGTGCTTCATACACCCTTTTCTGCGATGGAGAAAACCTACCGGTTTCGAACTCACAACGTAACTTGTACACTCCGTTTCCAAGCACAGAGCTGGTTTTGTGCGCTTCATGCATATCCATACTTCACTGTAAGCTACCTGCAGTTTTCAAGCACATATACATATATGTAACTGCGACTAGATGTGAAAATGAAATGCAAAACACTTAGTTACACTGGTTTCTGGTCTGCGATGTTAAAATCTACCAGTGACGAACTCATCACAACGTAGCTTTAGCAGAACATTCCTCTACGTATAGAAACTGTGCAGAAATAAGTACACTGTGTAGATTCATACTGCATTGTAGGACTTGTGCTCTTGAATCATGGTTCAGTTTCTCTACGCATGGTTCTGTTTCTCTCTTTCAGTCGTCGACAAAAACACATGGAACCACAAATACCTCGGCTGCCCGGCCAGGACCCGTGTCATGTACCGTCATGGGATCATTTCCGAAATATACACTGTTGTGAGGGATCAGTACATGGATATGAATTATGTCGACAAAGCTGTCTACAAGGATAAAGTTATAATATATATTCACAATATTCTCATATGGGTCCTTCGTCTAACTTGTACAGTTTTTAGCTCGCAGACGAGCTAATCTCCCAATGTTCGTGAGAGAGATGAAAGAAGACATGTACAGTGTTTACATTATGTTCATGTGCATTGATATTGTACCGCTCTTTTCGACAAGCATAGTGAACAGTGGACCACAGCTAAATGTCCCGTCCTATCAAAGGGCTGCTAGCTACCCTTTCCAGAAGCGTGCATGGCGGGTCATGAGTGACAACAACAGGGATTCGAACTCCCAACCTCTTGGTCCGAACCACTGGACGACGCACGCTAATACTAAAGACCTGCTGCTTTACGTTAGTGTACAATTTGTACAAGAGATTCCTTCTTGTTATACCGAGGCTCTGATATGTCACAGCTCATGGTCTAAGTTACTTCAAAACTTTCATTATGTTTTTATCCACCGTACTGTTTTTCTTAGGCTTCAAACCAGCATTATAGGAAAAAAACAAGACAACATCTACAATCACAGAAAAATACATATTTACAGAACTGTTGGAAGTGCGTGGGTGGTTAAAATGTAGCCAATACAACCTCCTTTCGGATGAGATTTGATTGCACGTTGTATAGCCACCTTCTCTCTGATGACTTCTCTGGTTGAAAATAACATTTTGAGTCGGCCTCCATTGAACTGGCACCTCTCGTATGTATTTGTAGTATTGAATATTTTGTGGAGCACTTTGGAATGTAATCAAGTCTCTTACAACGTATTAATATCCGGAGAAATTCTCCACTCGATTGTTACACTACATCAAAGACTTGTGCTAGACTTATTAGTAAGGCCACACCAATTTAATTTGTTGGTTCTCGGATTTTTTCAGAACAAATATGAAGCGACAGGGCGAAAAAAAATAAAAATAAAAACAGGTCTAGGCATCTTATTATAGGCTTAAATGCTATGAAATGAGCCATGAAGTCAACACAAAAGGCTGGGTTAAAATCTAAACATTGAATTTTGAACTTTTAATCATACCACTGCAATGATAGATGGGAAAACTGTAACAATTAGGAAGAAAAGGACTTTCCTCAACTGTTGGGGGCAAAACATAAGCATTTTTCAGTTGATTCAGGACCAGAAGCAATTTTTTTTTTTTGCAAATCAGAAAAAACGAAGAGGCGAATCCGAGAACCAACAAATTAAATTGGTGTGGCCTAATTATGTTTTTATTCTACGTACGCCTATTTTTTTGTACTATGTTTAATAGTTGTTGCCATATATTGTACCATGGAATAAAGTTCTTTATCTGTATGTTTTAGCAGGAGCATTAGCGGTTTTTATCAGCTGCTTTTTACCTCATATACGTATTTGTCATATAAATTAAACACAGAAATGGGTCAATACAAGAAAATACCAAATGACCAAAGGTTCTGTCCATTTTGTCCAAACATGATTGAAAATGAGCACCATTTTATAACGGATTGTACACTATACAATGATAAGCGCCTATTGCTGTTCACCTTTTTTCCGCTTGTTCAATTGATTTCAATACGTTAGATCCTATAGATAAATTCAATTACATTCTCAGGGGAGATAACCAATACAGTGTACAAATAGGAAACTACATTAAAGAATGTTTCTATCTCAGAGACCACATGTTAGAGAATAGTTAAACCCTTATTGTTGCATCATACATATACTCTGTACGTAAGATGACGTTATCCACACATGTATTTAGCTTTGTTAGACCTTTAGTTGTAGAAGACCATACAAAAGTCCCTGTACTTTTTTGTTGTGTCAATAAAGAATCTATATTATTATGTATATGTTTCTGATCCTTCTTTACATCGGATATTTATTTATTTCTACTTCAAACATACAATGACAGGGAAATACACACATATACATGTCCAATGCCCTGAATTGCGCAAGTTTGTTACAAAACAATTATACATACCATATGTGCTGAAATATCCTGACAAAGATACATAAAGTGACGAACACTACACCAAGATCCAAGCTCACAGGCTGGTGGTTGGTCTAGGAAATAGAGTTGTTATAAAGTCTGACTGCAGTGTGCAGGAAAGACTGTCTCAGTCGTTCAGTTCTGGCCTTGGGAAGAGTGAACGCGCTATTGTTCCTCAGATTCCTGCCAGTGGCTGTGCGTCTTTGAGGGGGCACGAGATCGTGCAGTGGATGATCAGGCTTTAACATGTCCTTAAAGAGTTTTACTGCTGCAGCTTCTCTCCTTTCCTTTAAAGAAGGTAGGTTAGGGACTGTTCGTCTGCCGCCGAGAGAGATGACGCGGAGGGCCCGTTTAGAGTAACTGATTTCAAAATTTCGTTAATGTAACGGATGATACAATGTCTGTAACTATATAAATGATGTTTGGAAGGAAAGTAATATAGCGAATAGAATGAATAATAATATTCACTGGACGAAAACCGACGTTTTCGGGTCGTATACTCCCGTACACACGCCCGGAAATTCCAAATATACGGACATTTCCAGGTGTGCGCGACCCGTACACTTGGCGTGTGCAGGCCTGCACACGGCCCGGATATGAACCACCCAGGTGTCCGGGCCGTGTACAGGCCTGCGCACGCCTGCACACGCCACCCATAAGGCCGTGTTTAAACGGAATCACCCAAGGCGGTTTACATGTGGTTTACCCCGAAGCCGGTTTCAAGTGGCTCCATGTGAACGCTCCGAAATCACATTGAAAGCGCCTCGATCCCAAGCCACTTCGAGGTGGTTTCGAACTGGTTTTCCCGTATCGCGATTTGCGTCTGAACGCAATGTGATTTCAATGTGACTTCACCTGGTCATGGATTATGGGGTGATGTTTCTTTATTTATATGCAATACCAACTTTTACGTGGCAGCAACTTAAAGAGCAGTAATGGTCAAATAATGTGTCCGTTCTAGGGCGAGCTTCACCGCCTCTGGCGGGACCATGTCGGCATTCGGCCGAGATACGCTGGGAGGGGGTATCAGCTAGCAGGTCGTTGACCTCTAACATTAATAACTCGCCACCTTGCGTGTTATCATCATACAGCAATAGATGTAGCTCAAGCGAATTGTGTTCGGACACGGTTTCACAGGAGTGTGTGGCACGTGGACCAGGCAGATGTGAGGAATGTGAGTTACCCGAATCGCGGTTTGGGTGATTCCGTTTAAACACGGCCTAAATCTCCGCACACGCCCGGATACGTGACACGTACCTCTGAGTGTGTGTATGAAATATGCATAAATTAGCGGTAATTTTCACCTAATTAAATTCTCATTATCAGTCCGTGTACATTCTCGTCATTAGTAGTATTTAGATACCTGCAATATATAACTTATGAGATTGAGATTAGTGTAAAGTAAAGCTGTCGAGATTTAAAGTGCTTGTATCTTTGTAAAAAAATTGGGAGATAATTGCCAAGTGCCATTTTTGTAAATAAAGCTGTCGAGATTCAAAGTGCTTGTCCTTGTATAATTACAGTATGATTTATTCAGAATCTTCTATTTTTGTTAGGGGAGGGATATGGAGTGAAATATTACATTTGCTCCGAAGCAAATGTTGGCCTTTCTAGTTGTGTACATGTATTTATCAGATTCTCAAATACTAGTAATATCCATTTCAAAATCTCTGACATGATACACAACACATTATATATGGTGACATAAGGCAAGAGGAAGTAAATAGTAACTTTGATGTACAGCAAAACATGTATATAAAATTCATATCAAGAATGTACAGTCTCTGATCTTAACTGTATCTTAACTAACACTAGCAGTAATCCCTATAAGTCTAGAACAGTAACACAAATTATTGAACTACTAAGTCTTGGAGCAATAATGAACAGCAGTGAGCAAGCAGATACGAGTACTAGATGCCTTAAATGTACAGCCGGCCCAATACTAATAGTATAAACAGGTAACAGTTACTGCAATATCTTGAACGATATAAATGCTAACAGTTTGGATAGGTGCTTTGAAGCTGTATCACATCTGCATTTTGAAGTTGAACTTCACCTTGACCAAGTATCGCATCTTAATCTGACTAACATCGTAGACGACGTACTCGTTATAGTTGAGAGTGTAGCCGTTAGGGTTGGTGACTCCAGTGTCTGTGCCTTTGCCTAAAGGAACAATGACTCCATCCTCCCTGGAATAGAGGAAGTACAGTCAATGAAAACACAGAAGGAATGTGTTGCCAACATACAGTAACGTAGCACGTCGGCAGAACGTACTCCGCCTGCGCTGAAGCCCGTATTTTCGCGTTTTTCGTTGGGTTTTTGGTCAACATTGCATCAGCATTTTGCCTGTTGCAGAGGATATTCTTTCCGACATGACATTTGGAAACTACTGTCGAAATGCTAACCTTATATGAGTGAATACAACCTTATATGAGACGTTCTGCCGAAATGCTATGTACAATACATTACGGGTTTCGCGCAGGTACAGTACGTTCTGCCGACGTGCTCAGTAACGTACAGATCTCCAATCACTTTCCATCTGGAGGTGTGCAAGTCCCGATCAAAAGTTGCACATTTCTCAATTAAACGCCATGCAAAAGCCTTGTTCATGTTCCTTTCACACTTAGTATCCGACAATATTGTCACCTACTGCCTACAAGAATCAACATTACCTGTCAACAAACCTGATCTACAATTCTGGAAATTCTGAAGTGTAGAACCGAATGCTATAGAACGAGCGCTGTACCGCATATGGTCCGTTTGACGTACAATGTACATGTAATTGTTTCAAAGTCACTAATTGCCTCATGACTCATATTTTCTACCCAATTTTAATGCACATGTCGCATGTATTTCAATTTTTGAAACTAAAAATTGATGCATGTATGAATTACATGAATGATGCTGATGTAAAAACCGAAAGAGGCGAGCAGGTCACAACCGGGAATCGAACCCGAGTTGTCCGCTTTGTGGTCACCAACGCTAACCACTACACTAAAAGGTCGCACGACCATTTAGCATGGTCAGTTAGCACTGTTACACTACTCCCCCTTTTCTTTCAAGATTCGTCCTCGAATCTTTCGAGTCTGACATCCCTGGAGCTGCCACACTTATCCTCAGTGCCAGTACTCACAGGGCCGGCATGGGAACCACTGTAAAAACCGA